AGAAGAGTAGATCCCTAAATCAGTTGTATGCTATTGAGGAAAGACTGACTGAAGATCTTATTTGATTTCAAGACTTCAAGCATGTGACTATGCCTTAACTTTTAGACTTAATAATTGGGAGGCCTTAGTGAGAGGAGAAATCCTCTGACCATTCCAAAGGACCAAAATCTGGGTCCAGGATAAAGAAAATTTGACAATCTGATAATCAGACTACTCTTAATAAAAATAGTCTGAGAATAATTAAGAAGAAATCGTACGGTTTTCCGATGAGGTAGTGTTTATATATAGTTAGTAAATATATAGAAACTACTCATGTATATATGTTACTAATATAAGCAGATGTATAAGTACTTGTTAGTACATACATTGTCTATCAGTATTTAAAGAGTAATGTAAAAGTGATTGAAACTAAGGCAACTACCTTATATGAAATGTACAGGTATATTACTAATAAAGATTATAGTAACGACTTCATGGATCAGTGGTTCACAAACATTATAGACAACTCCTTTATATTTGAAATTTATTTCAGCACTAGCCCAACCTTGGCAGGTTAACCTCCTCACAAGGGGTGACAACAAGCCACAAGGTGAGTACTTCCATAAAGGAAATCTTCTATTGAGTTTTATTTGATAGAAAACAAGTAGTAAGTTCTAGGGTAGCCTTCCTATGTAATTTTGCTGCAAATATACAAATAAAACAAGACTGAGCCAGCATTTAAAAAAAAAAAACTTTACTTAATATGCAAAAAGTAGTATAATTAATAAAATAAAAAGTTTATTATGTACAACTTTTTATGTTTAAAAAAAGTTTCGGATTTCCGTGCATCAAAATTTCTATTTACGAGTGTCACAAGTAACACAATGCAGGTCCATATACTGTATAACAGACGAATCCCTAACCTCAACTTATTCAGGGATGATTATTTGTATCTCTCTTGTTTTCGAATTTCTTATTTTTTGAATAAACTTTGTCTTTTATTGCTTTAAAAATGGCACCTCAACTTTATAACGAATGTGTTAATGAAATTTTGGAATTCTTATATGATGATCCCAAAACGCTGTTTTCATGCCTATTGGTCTCACGCACATGGTGTCGGATTGGTGTGGTAATCTTGTGGAGAAATCCTTGGAGTAACCCACCCGATTGGAAACCTAAATTTGATTCCATATTGTCATTCCTTCCGGAAGATTCAATCGAAATACTTAGAAAAAATAAAATAATTGTACGACAAACCCAATCACAATTATTTAACTATCTAGAATATGTTCAGTCAGTAAAATCTCTAGGAATAATGAGAATTACTAAGCGGATGATTGAGCAAGGACACGTCGACTTTATCGAAGATGATACAGATGATAACGCAGCTCAGCAACAGAACGAATGCGATTCTTTTGTGGAATGTGATACCAATGTTAAAATAATACCGCGGTGCGATAGATATGATGTGTTTCGAGACGAGTTATGGAAACTGTTTTTAAGGAGGGGAATGAATCTTAAATGTATTAGTATACTTGAACCACCACCATCAGTGTCTCAATTTCCTGAAGCCATGAAAAACCTGTCAAGATTAGAAACACTTATAATTTTATCTCCAAGAAATGGACCAGATCGAATTTACAACGACCTTATACAAATATGCCATAATCTTAAAAGCATATCCATTGATATTCAAACTGATGATGAAATGATTGCAGAAATTATTTCTGTTCAATCTGGGTTAAAAGAATTAGAAATAGTTAGCGTTTTCAAAAGTCAGGACCTACCATTGATAGGAGAATCTTTAATAACAAAGCAACAAAATTCTTTAGAAGAGATCACATTCGGATTTCATATATGTCTTTCATCTGAAATACTTAATAGCTTGAAAAATCTAAAGAAAATCACCTTATTAGAGCTTAGAGATTCATCAGAACTTAAAATGTTAGATAAAGTAGAAATAAATGATCTGAGTATAGTTAAAGAGTGAGTGGTTGTTTTTAATCTGCCCTGCGTTTTTAAAAAAATCTTTTGTTTTTGTTTTTTTTTTTTTTTTGTTATTGTTTAGATTTAATAGCGATTTTGGTTGACAGTTATTATTTAATAAATGTAAAAATTGAGAATGCTTTTATCACAAAATTTTGTGTGCTATTTCAACATAGAAACGTATTAAATTTATTATTAAATAAACTCTCAAAATTACAAGCGAAAGTGAATTTTTTCGCGGCTATAACTATTTATAATAAAATTATTTACTGTATTTATTTTTATTATTAATATTATATAAGTTCGAAATAAAAACCCTTTGAAAGACTTTACACACTTAATAATATTAATTCATACCTTTATTAAAGTTTCAAAAAGCTTAAATATATTTTAATTATAGCAATACTAAATTATAATTTATAATATATTATTCGTATTTCTTCTTCTTTCTAATATAGTAAAGTAAAAATCAATATTATTTAAAATAAAAAACTATTCGAAATTAATTACAGTAGTGATAAAAAGAATTAATTTTTTGATCTAAATAATAAGAAATTTTAAATATAAATAAATATAACATTAATATTAAACTTATTCATCAAATTTTAAAAATTTTATAAAAATTTTTTTTAAATTATAATTTAATGTCAAAAAGTTTTTGCAATTAAAGTTAGAATTTTTAGAAAAAATTATTGTACTAAAGCACTTTAGGTCAAATCTAGGGAACAATATTTCGCATTCTTAGAGAATTGATATAAATTTCTACTTTCTAGATTCATTTCAATAGTTTTTTACTATAACCTATCCAAAAATCATAAATTGTTAAGCTAATAAAAAGAAAAAAAAAAGAAAAAAGTGAAAAGGAATACAATTCAAACTTCTTTAAAAAGTTTATCAATTAAATAATTTTTTTAAAAAAAAATTTTTACTTAATTGAATTATTCTTTTTATTTCTACTTAAATTTCAGAAAAAAAAATTTATTATTATTATATATAATGTTGAATGAGTCAATTTAACTAGATTTATTATTTAAGTAAGCACTGGATTAAAATAGTTTAAAAAAAATTCAAAGATCTTAGCTTTTAGCTAGAAAAATCTTTTTATTATTTAAATAATTTAAGAAAAATAAAGTTTTATAATACATATTATTTATCTTCTATCATTTGATATTTTGAATATCTTTTTTAAAGATTTATGACTTTTGAAAAAAAACAATTTTGAAAAAAAAATTTTAACCACTATTAATATTACTAAAATATATAAGCAAAGTTAATAAAAACTTATTTTATTTCATAAACTAATTATATTATATTGACTAATTTAATTATCTTTAATAATAATTTAAATTATTCAAAATTTAGGATTAAATTGAGATAAATAAAATTTTCTAAAAAACTATAAAAATGAAAACTTTAAGAGAGTTAAAATAATTAAAAAAAAACAATAAATCTTTTTATTATAATAAAATCTTTATAATCTCTTAAAAAAAGTTTTAATGTACTTTATAATCAGTTCATTTTTTTTAAAAAACTTTTTTGTTATTGATATCAAAAGTATTATTTGATTTTTTTTAATTATTAAAGGTTAAGTTTTTGAATAAAACAATTTGTAAATAAGAAAAGAAGTATAAGAATAATATTTAAAGTTATATTTTAAGTTATTTTAATAAAGGTATTAAAACTTTATTAGCAAAGAAGTAAAAAAACTTTTTATAAATACTTTTTTTATATATAATTAAAGAATTCACAAAAAAAATATTAGAAAAAATATTATTTTACAAAAAATTTTACTTATAAATAGTATATATATAATTTTTTTTTTAAAGTTAGCTCAACCTCTGGTTAATTTTTTTATTAATTTTTACTTTAATATTATATTTGTACTATTTATTTCAAAGCTAACTACAATATATGATAATATTAATATATATGTTGTAATTGTAGATAAAGATTTCTTCCAGTTCAGATCTTCTATATAGATCTTTATGACCTATTGTCTCCTTGAGAAGAAACTAACTTGCCTAGGCTAAATTAGTACTATGTTCCTTGAATTTTAAATTAAAAAAAGAAAAGAAAATACATAAAAATTTTGTGTTGAGATCAAAACTGTTGCAATGTATTATATGCTTTTTGTGAGTTTTTCTTTGATTGTTTCATCTGTTTCTATCTCTTTTAAGATACTTTGTAATATTTTATGACTTCTCCCATTTATTAGTCACCTTGCATCTCTGATGCAAGGCTAGGTACATCAGATTTTGTATATCTTTCATGCATCTTATGATAATCTTTTTTGGTTTCTTTTTAAAGATCCTTGTTAACATTTGTTGTTACTAGATATAACTTTGGAAACTAAACTTCTAAATATCAGCCTCTTTTCTAATTTTTCTTTTTCATTTTTAGATTCAATTTTAACTTTTTTTTTCTTGCCTTTGTAAATAGTTTGCCATGGTATCTATAATAAGGCTTCTAAAGTTTATCTTATTCATTTTGCATCTATATATATGCACTTGTGTTTCTTCTTATTTATCACATCCAATACTGTATATATTCATTGTCTATATATATCTCTCCTTTTTATATACAGTTTGGATATTATTGATAACTCCGGAGCCTATGCTTTTATTCTGAACAATATTTGTTAATGATCTTCTTCACTTGTTGAACCTACGGTTACCTTTTTATATCTAAAATAGTTAACTGTTACTTTTCAATCAATTAGTTGCATCAGGTGTGCCAGGTCTTTGTTTCTGTCTAGATGACACCATTCCAAGATTTATTTATTTCTGAAGTAGTTTTGTACTGCTTCTCTGACATTAAGATTTTTAGTTTGACTTTTGTATTCAAGTATACAGTTTTTCTTATCGATTAATGAGATGTTAAGCCTTATTGTATACTATTTATACTTTGTCCTTCTCACTTCACTGTCTATATTTATATATATTCAGTCTTTATTTCTTCTAATTTTTATAACTTATATGTTCAAGTTTCTCTGTATGATAAGCTTTTTAGTCCATATGACCAGTTTTACTATTTTACTCTTATTTATTGGGTAGTCAAGACTGTTACTACAACCTGACTGTCTGTATTTACCATTACTTCTATATCCTTGATAAGGCTAAGAGCATAACTAATATAGTATTCAACTTTGCCTTATTTGATATTATCTTTTTAGGATTTTAAGGACTATTGTCTTTATTTCTTTTTCATTCTCTATACTTTTGATATAAATGACTATTATGTAAAAGTCTCTAAAAATACTAGTGTTCATAGTGACGATGCCTGCTTTCCATTTTGTGATTCAACATTGTAGATTGGATATAATAGTTCTGCTGATAACATCCTTTATTTATTCTATACTATATATACCATTATTGTTATTTGATATGAAAACATTTCATAACTCTGTCTCTGTGATTGATTTGTTTCATGACAGTAGATTTGTTATATTGCAAAGTGATGTTAACAATTTAACTTGCTTCCTTATTACACCATTTACCAGATACTATTGTTGTTTCTTTTGACAAGCCACTGTATTTCTGTTTGAAATTTCTATTGTGCATATTTCAATAATTCTGCTTTGATTCGTGAGGCAACTATAATATGAAGTATTGAAGATAAAAGTGACTGCTAGTAGTATCTAATTATGGTTTTAATATTATCCTTTTCTTGGGTTTTTCTAGGATTAGTTCACTTGTTCCTTTGCTTCTCTGCATAGTTATCCAATCGAGTCTGTTCTATTGAGTTCACAACTACTTATTTTATCTGCTCAGATTATTTTGTAAAAGATATTCAGTATAGTTAAAGTTTAGAAATCCTTATCTAATGAATTGAGTTAGGTGTACTTGTTGTAATCATGTTGGTTACCTCCTCAAAAAACTTGAGTTGCCATCCTTGAGATCTGCACCAGCTTATTCTGCATACTTGTATCCAAATGATTGTTTTTGTTTTGTTGGAATTGAGAAATTGCTCTATCCATATTAAGCCATTGGATCTCAGTTTAGTTCTATTTTTGGTGAATCAGTCCTGTCCTATATAGGTCTTCAGGAAGGTGATATCTATTGTTTTTACTCCTACCACTATTTTGTAGATTCTGAATATGAAACCTAACTTTTGAATATTAAAAGTATATCTTGCATAAAATTGGTTTCTTTTGATAACACTTTCAAACATTTTTCAAGAACATTAATATCCAATCATGTGAGTTATTGTAGGTTTCTTACTTTTTCTCAGTATAGTCTTTCAGTATAGTTCACTACTGGGTAAATCATTTCTAGAATCATAAGATACTTCTACAATATCTTTGTTTTTAGGTCAAATATGCTGTTTTCTAGATTACTATAAAAAATATTATTGGATGTTGACCTTGCAAACCCTGTCTTATATTTAATTAGTTTTCGAATCTCTTTGTCTACCTTGTTCATCTGGATTTCTGATATGTAGAGATTTTAAACTATATGTTCTATTTTAGGGAAGATTATATAGTTTATAATATACTATACTTGCTTGTCCATAACTTTCCTCCAAAGAAGTCTATTGGTCAGCACTGTGACTATTTATTGGATTCTACTTGTTTGAAGTTTTTTTCTTCTATCTGGATCGAACTATACTTTCAAGTATCTTATCTAGCTATCACTACTGAAATCTTGTTTGATTTGAAGATTACCTCTGGATTTTTTTTGTTATCAATTATGATCAGTTTAGATTTGCTCAGGTTTGCCTTGATATGTATAAAGCTGTAGAAATAACTTGCCATATTAGTAATTATTTTGAGCTTCCTCCTGACTTCTGCAATTCATACTGTGTTGTCCATGTATACTAGGACTAATATATCGGTATAGCTTCTGACTGTTCTAAGTTTTTTTATATTATATGTCTTCATGATAATATTATATTTTCGCAATTTATTGACTTTATTTATAAGTGGGTCATAATATATTCTCTAGAAAAGAGAAGAGATAATGCCTCCTTGATTGATATCATTCTTGACTAAATATAGCTTAATCA